TGGTTATACTGTGCTTATAGTTCAACGCATGAAACTATTTATTATAGGTTTGTTTTCTGTTTCTGCACTGGTGAACTAGTGCAGTAAACTAGAATGAGAAAAAATATGCTTGTCTTACTCTAATTTGTTGCACTGGTTCATCAGTGTAGCAACAGGAAACAAGTCTCTTATGTTACAGCTTTCACTTGCACTCGATTAATGCTTATTTTGAAAAGAAAATAAGAGACGTAAAAATGTGCAGCTAAAAAAGAAAAACTAAAATTTTCTAGGTGCACTTTCTACATTTGAAATGAGATACGTGTTAAAAGCAAAAGAAAACTGCGTTAAATCCGAAAAAAAATCGGCGCGCAGGACAAAGGTGGAAAACGGTGTATAAATTCACATTTTAAATTACAAATATTGGGCTACCTACATGGCATCTCTCGTATGTTTTTAAAAGCAAGATACGACGAAAAGTAAAATCTAACGATGTGCGCCAGGATAGAGTTAAGTAAAAATATACATAATCATTTCTAAATAGTAAAAATTTAATGTCTCATAGTCTGCTACAAAAGTCGTTCGCTTCCTCATTAAAATCCCGCCCTTTTTAATTTCGTAAATTCGAGTCATAACAATTTGTCAGCACAAAGCGTCGCGAGGAAATAAATACCGAAAGAAAACCATGATAGATACCTGAAATCAATACGGTAAACTTAAGCTGTAACGAAGAATTAATGCACCTGTGCGTGCCACGTGATCAGAAATTCTTTCCTTCAACCATAGACGACGGAGGGTATAAATCGGCAGCACCGCGCGTACCTCCGCGCATATAATTCGCAGAAATCATTACAAAATTTATTCAAGAAGTTAATATACAAAGTTACATAATTTTTGTCGTCCGTATATCAACAAGTACAACGCAACTTTTTCCCTCGCCTCGACAAAAATGTAGAAAAAGTTGGCGCAGCTGTATAGCCGGGATATGCGATACGTGGAAAAGGATCACGTGTATGGCATTCTACGTATATTAGGCACAAACACTAAAAATAATGACGATAAAAATAATTGACTTAATCGTCTCTTCTCGCGCGTTCAATAAAAAAATGTCACATCAAAAATGAGAATCCGGTTATGGCGAGAAAAACGGAAGGAAAAAACTAGGTGCTCCCTCGCGAACCGATTTATCAACAATCTAAAACTAAACGTAATAATAATCGTAGTTGATTAATCTAAGAGTATAATGATAAAGATAAGCACATAGATATCAATATATATATATATAAAACACAACAGTAGTTGCATAGTGGAGTCCCTCAGGGAGGGGGAGAAAGGAGAAATAACAGCAAGTTTTGCTCGGAGAGAATTCATGGCGCGGTCAGAATTTTGGATTGAAAAAAAGAAGAGAGAGTAAGAGAGAGAACCGGGTCGATCTCCGCGAGCACGATATTAGCTGTGCTCGTTCAAGTGGGTATTGTTACTAGAGTTATTCATTAGTTCGATAGACGCCATCGTGGAGTGCGAATGATTGGACAGCTGAGAGGTGGGATGATGTCGTGGATTGGTATTGTGGAGGCTGTGCAGGTAAGAGCGCTGGACGGGCTTGTGTTGACCAAGCTGCAGCAGGGCCTCCGGTATGGTGAACCACTTTCGCTTCCGGCCGATAGCGCGCGAGTCCTCCCATTCCGGCAGCTCCTCGGTCACTCGCATAACCCACACTTCCGTTCGGTGTTTGTGTTCCGCGTTCTGTAAAGAGAGAGAGAGAGGCTCTGTCTTATCGGGGTCGTTATTTCGCTTGGAATCCACGTGAGCTCTCAAAGTGACAAGTCGAATGCAACAGCGGCTACGATACAATTGTACACGGAGCGTAGCGCGAAGAAGAAGAAGAAGAAGAAGAACATTGAAGGGGCATAATGTAATATCTGTGTGGCATACATCACGAGTTATAACCTCAAATGTGCCGAGGCAACGGCCCAACTGTCCCAGAACGCCGGCCTCCTCTCGGACCTCGCGTAGAGCCGTGACCGCTGGTTCCTCCTCGGGCTCGACGCCGCCGCCTGGTACTATCCAACTGTCGGGTCTTCGACTGGATGTAACTAGTAGTACCTGCAAGTTGACGGGTACACGTGAGACCAGCCCGACCTCGGGCGAGGACGCCAAAGTCCAGCGCGATCGATGACTCGGAGCGACGAGCGCGAGCCAGCCGGCTCGCGCGACCGACCGCCCACGTGCCGCCGGCGAGGGCACGCGCACGCACAGGTGGCTGCCATCTGCCAGCCTGGGCCTTACCTCGTCCTCGAGATCGCTCTTTACGCAGATACAGGCGGCCCTGCGTCGGTAGCCCTCCGAGTCGTAGATGCGGATCGAATTCGCCTTCTCCTTCACCATGTTGTTGTTGTTGCACCGTGGACACCCTCGCCTCAGATCTTTCCGTAGATTCATAAATAATCGTCAAACGGCCCGACGGGCCATCCTGTGCATCCGCGTCGTCCTAACGTTGCTCGTAGCCGACATATTATCGACATCGAGTCCTCACTTTGCCGTACGTAAAAACGTGCGAGCGGCCCCCGGGGTTTCACGTGCGCGCGCGGTGGCCGCGGTGCGATGCGCCTGCCACCCGTTGCTCAGGCCGAACGAGTGCGCGTCCCTCCGCTCGCAACGACGAAACGCGTCTGCCGCCGCCGATCTGTGCCGCCCGCGCGATAACCCACCGAACAGAAACCCGATCCTCGCCGGACGCTCGCTATAACCTCCAAGGCACCCGAGGCTACCCGCGTCGACCAACCACGGCCGGCCGTGAGACGGCCCCCCCGCCCCGCGCCACGACCAATCAATCCGGTTCGATCCCCGCGCGCGTGCGCGCGCGCATGGGCTTCTCCGCGCGGGATCTTCGAATAGCCGGTGGGGCCGATATTTCAGATTGTCGCGCACGATCTTACGTTCTAAATTTTCAAATACATAATGCGACACGAATTAGACTTCAAACCTCAGTGTTTTTTTTATGTGAAAACGTTCTACTATGCAGTCCACAATACGGTCTGGTATTATTTTGTACATAAATGCCAATAAGATTTACAAATGCAAAAACTGTATGCGATTCTGTCGGTAAATCAAACCACTACAGCATTCCCTTAAAATACGAGCCCGTGACGCTTTACGACGACTTTATTTGGCTGGACGGAATATTAATGATCGCTCGTGATCAGGCTCGAAGGCGATTCTGTGACGATGCAGACGATGATTAATATGAATACGCGTTCGGGGGTGAAATGGCATTGGCTGGAATTCCTAGAAAGCGCGTGCCTCTTTGTCGCTTACGTTAAAATGCGATAATAAAAGTTTCAATCGTCAACAAGTAGCATTGAATTCTTAACGAATTTAAACAAGCGTGAATACACACGTTCTGATTAGACGAGGAAAGAAATTAAATGCAATCGAGAAGAATAGATACCTCACACATTGAAAATGATTTTTTTAAGAATCGTGCATTCAAGTCTACTTTATAAAACTCAGCTCATAAAAGTTAATTCGAACTCTTCGAGTTAATTGTTTATGTTTTCAATTTACTCTCACATTCAAAGGATATCGATAAATCGACTATCAATATTGACGGTAAAGGGAATTTTGACGGCACGCACGTATCATGTAATATGAAAAAACTAATGGAAAAACTAATCGCAAGATGATTCTTCTTCTTTGTAAGATAACAATTCGAAACTATTTGTAATTTATGTTGACCTTAGGCAGACTTTGTAGAAGATACAATTACTTATGGACTATTCTGGACTATCTTGAACCAAGCTGAGTGCAAGTGGATCGGTTCGAATTTCCTAAGAGATAAAGCAAAGCAATTAAATAGAGTATTTCCCCGTCAGATAATTCACTGAACGCGATATAAAGCTGAAGACAAAACTATGTTGACAAGAGATGTTCTTACAGCCAATACTGATATTCCAAATCTCTCTCTCAAGTGTCCATGAAAAAACACGTACAAGTATACAGAATTTCAGTTGGAAAGAAGCTGGAAAGAAGAGCTAGATTTCCTCAATAGTCGATAAGGAAGGTAAATTATCTCTATACGACTCACTAAACACATATGGTATGAAACGTATACATATTTATGTAGTGAATAATATAACAGTTTTCAGTTAAATTAAAATAGACAAAAGTAACGGAGCGTTAGTAATCACACCTTAGAATCAAGGATGCCTCAAGAATTTATCGTATTTATATTCACGAAAAAACGTGTGTTTAAACGATCAAAATCTCCTCAATCTTTCATAAATCACACATGAATTTTGCTTAAACAGAATTCCGTTTCCATCCAACCCTAAACCAACTCTCGCCGCGTTTCGGTCGCTAACGCTAAAGAAACATGCCGTTCGACTTGACTCTTAGTAAGGCAAAATCAGACTGGTCAAGTAATCAACTTACGAACTTATCATCACTTTGTACAATAATCATTCATAAACGCTTACCCTCCCCGCAATTACCGCGATCGCGCGACTCGTCGCACCTATCGCACGTAGAAAAGAAAAAAGAAAAAGAAAACAGTTTGTAAAATTACACGTCTCGTGAATCGAACGTAGCTTATAAACTATATATTTAAGTCAATAGTGTCATACATACAAATGGTTCATTACAACCTGTGTGTATCCACAGTTACGATCCTGCGAATTTAGGCTTCCACCGCCTTTCCTTCGCGATCTCATTATTCTACAGAGCTAGATTAGACGCACTTTCGGGCTTTCACGTTTTATTTGGCGGCAATCAGATCGATTGTTGTTGCAGCCCCTCGAGTAGAGGAATTCCGTACCGTACATCTTAAATCAATAGGAATTCCCTGGTGGAAATATTTCGCTGAGAGTATAATGGGATTTGGCCGAAAACCCCTCGCGATTGACCTCGTTTCACCTTATCAATATTGCAGTAAAAGTTCAGCGAGAAATTACTTATTAGAAAGTAACACAGTTTTTAGTCGAGTTCAGTAAATTTCGTATCTAATATTTCATAATTTTTTTTCAGTTCTTTTTCACAATATACTTTGACCTTCCTCACATTTCGTTGCATCGCATTGAATTTTGAATCAAGGACAATTATGATTTATTTTGAGATACGTTTAGTAATTTTGTAATCTCACTTTTTGTCGAGTTCACAGTACTTTCAGAAAGATATTTCCATCAGTCTCGCTGATAACTACAATAACGAAGATAATCCGGTCCTATACAAGATGTCCGAGAACCAGGCGTCTTTCTCACAAACAAATAAAATTCTTTCAACGATTTCTAACTTTTGCTTAAAAGTATTATGCAATTGTCGAGTAATTAAAAATTAGGGGGCAATTAACAATTCGACGAAGCTACGGAGGGAAGATAAATAACGAGATGCCTCTCAATTAAGGTTGCGAAATTTTTATGTAAAGCTCGCCGATCAACATGAAAAACCGAATACGCGGTGGTTCAGGGACACTCTATGCGATTGGAAAAAGAAAAGGTATAAGTAGATGCGTGAATATATATTTAAAAAAAAAACTATTACTTCGTACGTTTTTGTTTCAAATAACTAAAAACAAGTGTCGTCCCGTTTCTTATTTCAGTTGCGGTTCCTGCACCCTGCTACTCCGCTCTAGCGTCCTCTCACTTTCTCTCCTTTCCCCCTTTAATACAGCAAGTGTGAGAGGACGCAACCAGGATATGAACAGGAGTCACAATACGGAATACCGCTACGGGACCGGGTGCGAGCACGTGCGTGCGTGCGTGCGTCGATTCGACGCGCGATGCACGCACACGCGACGCACGTGCTCCCCGCGTACCGCCGTGCCGCGCCGCAGCATTACGCGCGTTCTATTTGCGTCCCTCATCACTGCGCGCGCTACCAGGCGCTTTCTACCCCGCATTCCGTCTTTGTATAAATCGTCGCAGTACAACGAGCCTTACATATTGTAAAATCGACAAACGACCAGCCGCGAGACACAATCCTCGCCTCGATCAGTAATACAAAGAACCTCCCTGTGTGTATACGCGTGTGTTATCGCTATCGTCGATGTCGCACCTTTGTCTTGGGTTCCCTTTACACATCTCCTTCCCCTATCACCTTTTCTATATTTTTTTTGCTTAATAGTTTTTTTTATTTCTTTACGAAATCGAGCTTGTCGTCTCCACGGCCACTTACCTCTCGTATAGCTTAAAAAAGGTGTGCATATATATACATACAGGATGTTTTAGGCGTCGCGCGCTTTCTCTTCAATACAGATACTTTTCTCTCCTTGACTCACGTGCTCGCGTAATTCATTAATTTCGATACGTGTAATATTAAATATCACTCAAGCTCCGAATAGTTTCTCTCTTTTTTTCTTTTCTTCTTACGTCCGCTTGTAATCCAGCGAGCGACTTCCGTTGCCTGCGAAAACTGTCTAGTCTGCAATTTCGCTTATCAGTGAAAAAGGTGTCCAGCCCGATATCTACATATCTGTCGAGAGAAAGTGCGCGAGAGTATGCATATATATAAACACATGTGTATGTACATACTTTACGCGTTCGGTTTTATTAACATAATTTATTTCTAGTTCCTTTCGTGGTGTGTTTCTCTCGTCGCATCGCCCACATTTCCTCGCTCACCACGTGTACTCTCTCTCTCTCTCTCTCATTGCTCTGTTAGTTTGTGTCTGTAAACCTCACGCAAGTGACAAGTCCGAGCCGAACATATACGGTTTGCGTACATTACTGGAACAATGATAGACTTTGATTGTTCGTATTACAAAAACTACTTCTGCTGGGTTATGTCAATCCTTATCCATATACAAAAGAGATTAATTATACAGTAGGTAAATCCTCAGTAATCGACAATAGACTGTACATCTCAGTAACACGGAGCGTGTCAATTCTCTCTAATAACAACAAAAGAGATTTATCACATTAGTATGAATCTCAGTAAGGAAGGTTAAATCAGAACCTTTATTGTTACTACAGCATCAACAGTGTTACGTCGTCATCTCCAGCGCTCGAAACTCTTATACATTCTGGCTCTCCCTTTTATGAAAGTATCAAAAATATCCTTTCTAGCACTCATTCCCCAACAGACAACGGAAATTACGATATATCGTCTCAATACTAAAAATCAATAAAAGTATAACCAACTTATGTAAGGTAGAGCTCACCTGCTCCTACGCAGGTCCCCTTGACTAAGATTCGTCCTGTCCCCCTTTTCCAGAAAGAAAGAAAAAGAACCATAAAAAGAGAATAAGAAAAGAGAAAGAAATCATGATACCGAGATAATAAAGATTGTCCTGCTTAAGCGCTAAATCGAGCTCAAGATGTAAAACTAAGTAAAATTTATAAATATGGTACAATGATATCAAGCGATAGAGCAATAATAGATTAATTGTAGATACGTATAGGTAATAGCATTGTATCGTTGAATCCTATGGCGATTTTTTTTTGTTATTTAAGTCCTCCGCTTAACAGTAGTAGAATTGAGGATTGCATTAAACATCTGTGTCCCCGTGTGTTCGATTTGATGAGCGAGTATCGTTCAGTCGAACAATTCACCGCACGCACCCAATCACCATTTTGCATGGACTAGCAGCCACCTTGACTAGCTTTTTTTCTTTTAATTTCTGCCATTCCCTGCCACCTCGGTCCCGTCGGTGCAAACGTCCTCTGGGCTAGCAGCTTGTTCCACTATACTCCAGCAAGTTCAGCAGGTACGAATCAATCTCCAGGATGTTCAGGGCAGCTACGATTCACTTGAAACCATTTATCGATACAGCTGAAAGAAGAACGCACGATTTTATATTACCTTATCCCAGCCGTACGCTAATCAATTGAAGGCGACATACTTGTTCAATTTGCATTAGCTCAAATTAATAATTACTTTGTGATTGATTGCAGTTTAATGCTGCAAAATTTCGATACGTAAAAGCGACGTATCGAAATCTTCACAGCAATTTATAGCAACACAAACTTTCCGGACCAATCGAACGTCTCGACCATCTCAACGCATCTACCATAAAGGAGTTAACGGAAGACAGTGAAACATAAATAAGTAAATTGCACCGTCGTACATACTTTTTATGATATATACAGAGACAGGGCAAGCGGGCTATAAGATCTCCAGACTGCAGCTCTTCCAAGCAAATGACACATTCGCCTTTCCCATCCGTCAGCACGTCCTCTGTCATGTAAACAAGCAAAAGCACACTTAACCACCGTCCTAACAATCGCCAGCAGTTATCAAGTCGTCGACGAGCGGTGCTCCTGGTCAACGACAGAGACCCAAGGAGCAGTGTCTACCGTTTACCAGGCGGATAAGCGACCTCCTCGCCACTCGCTCCACTCACCGTTGTAACTGAGCCGTGGCTTGGTCAGGCACATGACCAGGTGACACTCGATATCATCCGGCAGAATAAACTTGGAGCATACAGGACACTTTAGACCTTGAACACAAAGACGAGCAACGTCAGTAGAAGAAAAAACAGAGAGGGGGCGGGGCGGGGCGAGAGTGCAGGTCGAGTACCGTAGAAGACCCGTCTGACGCGATCCACGGGGACGACAGCCTCGGCCTCGTGCTCGTTCAGGCACGAGCTCACTATAATTCCCATAATAGACCCGACATAACCTCAGCCGTGGCGCGCGGTGCCGCGCGGCGATCCTCTCCCCATCCTTCGCCGCCTCCCGCGGAACCGGGCCTCACCGATCCTGGCGCGCGTCCGCCGCACGCCCGCCTCCTCGTCCTCTCGCGCCCCGATATCTTCCGCACGGCCGATTCGAAATTCAGCCCAGGCCCCGCTCGGTGTCCTCGGGCTCTGTCATCGATTGTAGTACGCGGTTACCGGGCCAACCACCCCGGCAACACGCGTCAAAACAAACGCCCCCTTGTCCCGCCCGCGAATCACTCGCCGCGCACCCGACTCCGTTTCGCGCGGGGGGGGCTCTCTCTCTCTCTCTCGCGCGCGCGCTGGCGCGACCTAACCTCGCTTTTTTTTCTCCGCGGCGCTGGCAATTAGGTTAGAGAGCGCCGACCGAACGCATGCCCCCCGCGCGCGAGCCGAGGAGAGCCGCGTCCGGGGAGAATCGACGCGGACAAACGACCGGCGGCTGGCTGACTGGCTGGCGAGCGCGCGACTCCTCGTCTCGTCACGGCGATACGATGCACCCCGCCGCGCGCGACGCAGCGCTCCTTCGCCCGAGACGGAACAACAAAGAACCGCCGCGTACGAGATTCGCATCTCGACGGTGCACAACATATTTGTTGACTCTCGGCGCTGGGGGGGCTCGCGGTGAAACGGCGACGCGCGTCGAGCTGGGTCTCGCGCGGAGCGGAGTCGGAAGACTCGGGGGGGTGGGGGGTGGGGGGAGGACTCGACTTACCGTTCAGGGACCAAATGTGCGAAGGCAGGCTGTGAGCGGCGTAAACGCGGCCGCTCTCCTCGTCCGTGTCGTCGGAGTCGAGCTGCGGCAGGCCGAGGGCCTGGCCGACCCCAACCCCGACCGAGGTGGAGAGGCCGGCCTGGCCGTCGGAGGAGAGGTCCGGCACGGAGCTCAGGGAGCGCGCACGCTGCCGGCTGTCCCCGGACATGCGCGAGTTCTGCGACTGATTGGCCTGCTGGTGCTGGTGCTGCAGCAGGCCGACGCCGCCGGGCAGGGAGCGGAGCACGGAGAAGCCCTGCATCGCGGTCTCGTTGGCCCCAGTGGAGGACTGACCGTTGCCACCAGCGGATTGTGCCACGGTGCTCGCCTTGGCTCCCATCCCAGGTTCCGCGGTGGTGAATCTGCTAACCACGTCGTCAACCACGTGCTCGCCCGCCCGCGTCCTCGCTCGCCGTGTCGCCCCCGCCTGCTGCCCCGTTGGCCGTCCGGCGATCGGACTCGCTCGCCGCCGCCGCCGGGCTCGCGCGCGACCCCCGGGCCGACGACCGGGCGGAAGAGTGAGGAAGGAGGAACGCGACCCCCCGGGGTCCCGGGTACCTCAGGTCCTGGCAGTGGTACGGACACACACACATACACTGGCGCGGTCTCCTCGCGCGCGCCTCCGTCTCGCCCTCGTCCACCTCCTTGTTCCCTTTTCCCCCCCGCGGCTCACGTCGGCGTCGGCGTCGGCGGCGACAGACGGCTGGACGACCTGGCACGGCCACACCGGCGGCGCGGCGCTCTTACAACACCCTGGGATTTAACTTAGGCCGGAATTTAGCAAACGCGCGCCACAATGAGCAAGTCATTTCGTCCGCGAACATACCAGCGGCTCGTCGCACAAAACATTCCCCGACATCTTAAACTTCCTAGATGTCAACACGGTCGGCTCGCGCAGACACTCCACACACTCCCCCCCGCGCTTGGCGAGACTGTGCGCGTGCACGCGCCGCGGGTCACGCGACTACACGATGGGTCGTGCGTTCGTCAGCCACAGTATAACCAGTAGTGGCACTCGCTC